TCAGTCCGATCACTGCATGTACTAGGTACCTAGGTACCCTACTCACCGTCAGCCAACACGTACCTCTCTACTGTACTCGAGCATATGTACCTTACCTACCTACCTTACCTACCACTCCCTTCTCTTGCTCACCACATCGCTTCTTTCGTTTCCTCCATCTCTACCACTTAATCGTTCGCGACTGCATCACCAGTTTGTTCTCTCTTCAAGGATCGGATCCTACCAACTGTTTCCCATCTGAACATTGGAAGCTGTACCCCCGACATTTTGTCCCTCTAGGACCGACCCATGAGCCAAGATACCTAGGCTGTCAAGGTTCCCGCCCCTGCATTCTACCTATACTCGTACTCAGCCAGCCCGGGGCTCTTCAACGTGGTGTGCCGTCTGTCACACCGATTCCGGCCTCTCACAACATCGCACAATACGCTGCCCAACTTCCACGTGCTTCTTCCATTTTATCTTTACACCACACGCTCGTCCACCACGCTTAAGCTTACCCCGTTCACTACTCACCGTTTTGCGAAGAGCCGGCACTCCGATATCTATATAACTTCAACCACAAGCAAGGTCCCCTGTGACCCCTCCGCTGTTCGGACGAGGCGGTGACAACATGCTACTAGAGGTAATCGGCCTTCACTCTCGCTGCCGTGATACCGCCCGATTCTCGATCACTACCGTTTGCTTGGTTCCTTGATGAACCATCCATTGGCCTCTTGCAACCGACTTCGAACCCCCCGGTTTTGCGATTATCCCTATATCGTTACTCGATAGAGATTCTCGATCTCGACTCTTTGATACTCGATTCGCCGGTGCCCGACATACCCAGCCCGCCCTTGCGTCCGAGGCTGACGCTGCCGGCATCCGTCTGATCTGGTCGAATCATATAATACAACAGCCGCCGACTGTCCCAAAGCACCTGGTGGCCTTTGCACTACACGAGCGCATCGTCAACCAGCGGCGGAGCTTCTACAGGAGATACCAACACCCAACAAAACACCTACAATACCCTTTGCGCCCAACATGGTGTCCGACGAGACATACGACATTTGTCTTCCGGTCCTCGAGGATCCAGATCTTGACGATGAGGAGAAGACGGACAAGCTACAGGACCTTCTCAGGGAAAGGACAACCTTGAGCGGGCAGGCACTGGATAATGCAGTGTTAGATGCCATGTGGAGGTTTCGAGATGGCGGCGGGACGGCGACATCTCCACCGTCCATACGTCAGAGCATTCTCCGACGCCCGTCACCGGCTCCCTGGAGAGGCTCTAGTACTCCTCTTTCCAGCTCGCCTCGCTTGAGCGTCAGTCCGCTTGCCCCTCCCGGATATGTGCCGACAAACTTCGGTCGGGCCATGTCTTCGACGGCATCTCCCTTTGGTTCGCCTAGGCCATCCCCGCGACTTGCGTTTGCTACACCCGTCCCCCACAGTCCTAATCTGAACGCCTATCAGTTTGCCGCCAATGATGAACCTCCCTCACAGGAAGTGTTCGGAGATTACCAGTCGGACAATGTCGACTGGCTCGTCAGTGACGATGACCGTCTCAGTGTGACCTCTTCTCTCGGCGGTTCGAGTGGCTTGAATGTGGCTGCTCCCGAATTCGTATCGACTCAGCAGGCCGATATGAGTCCGTTTGACATGCTTAGGTCCATCTTGGGCACGAGTAAGACGGACGACGAAATTGGCGCTGCTCTTGCTATGCATGGCTATGACCTCAGTGCCACCGTTGCCTCTATCATGGACGACCCGGCACAAGATGATGTCTCCCTTTCTGGCCAAAATGATGAGGCCAGGGTGGTTGTGATTGGCAAGTCAATGACGCCTGATCAACGCCCCGCGACTCCGGCCGACCAGCAGAGATCGGGTGTGATTTGCAAGTTCTACCTGTCCACCGGGCAATGCCTGCGCTCTGATTGCCGGTTTAGTCACGATTTAAGCAATCATATCTGCAAGTAAGTCGTGTCTTGTCTTGAAAACACGGAACCTGAGACTGACGACTGTAGGTATTGGGTTGCTGGTAACTGTTTGGCTCGTGATACCTGCGTATTTTCTCATGATCCGGCGCATCTGGTGAACAAGCTGCATATTGACGGCTCGGGCACACCGCCGACGCATTATTCGACGGTAAACGTTCAGGACTTTAACAGTTTCCCGTCCTTGCAGCCGGGAACTCCTGAGCAGTTGCACGTTTTCCCGGCGTCAGCAAACACTCCCGCAGTAGGGATCACCCCGCCACCGGGCTTCAAGGGCCACCACAACTACGGCTATCCCGACCGTCCACGATCGCGGCCTGGTAGTCGACATCAGCAAAAGGAAGTTCCGCAAACGGTTCCGTCTCCTGACGATGCAGATGCATTTCCTACGCTAGGCGCCGCCATAGCCAAGCAAAGCAAGAAGCACCATGGTAAGAGGGGCGGGCATGGCCACACTGGTAGCGGCAGCAGCAGCAGCAAGGAAATCGCTAGTCCAGGCCCGAGCACACTCGCCGACATTGTCAAGATGTCTCCCTCTCCTGTCAATATCAACTTGAGGCCTAACGGTAAGTTGAATCGCAATGGCAGCTCTACTAGCATTCGGAATGGCGAGAACAGCGCTGCTGCCCAAGCTATTCCACCGCCTAAGCACATTCCTTGGCTTGAGACTGGAGAGAAGGCAAACAAGGCATATCTCAAGGCACGCCAGGAGGCCATTAAGCACGGCGGCTTGCGCAACAAATTCCTGCAGAGGTACGTTCCCACAAAGTCGCAGAGGTGACAAATACTGACCATGGTTTCTAGTGCTGCTCAGGCGTGGAACCGCAACGATGCCCGTGCGGCCAAGGCGCTGAGCTTGCGCGGGCAAAGCGAAAATGATCTGATGAGGAAAGCTCACCGCGAAGCCGCGTCACTGCTCTATGAGGAGCGCAACAAAAACAATGGCAGCTGCCCCGAGATCTACGTCGACTTGCACGGCCTTCACCCCGAAGAGGCAGTTGAATACCTTGCAGGTATTCTGACCGAGAACACGAGCGAAAGCAGACCTATCTATGCCATTACTGGTACCGGCCATCACAGCAAGAACGGCAAGGACAAGGTGGGCAAGGCGTTGCGCACTTTCCTTAACGAGTGGCGCTATGCCTACCGTGAATTTTCGGTGCCGGGCGACAGAAATAGCATGGGCGGGATTTTGGGTATAGATGCGAGAAGTTGGGATAAATCGTTGTCGCAGGATGGTGTCAGCTTGGTGAAGAAGGACGAGCCCAAGGATGATGTCGATATCCTGTCTCAAGGGGTGGAGATTGGGGAGGGCAAGGTGAAGTTGCTTGTTAGGGACCCGATGGCTGCCAAGGAGCCGCCCAAGGGCCCTGCTAGCCTTAGGGGACGGTGACTGGGTAGAATAACCACAAGAGCAGGATGAGACTTTGGAGTGCAATGAGTCCAATAAGTCGGACCTGAACGATCGTCTGCAGTGATAAAATCGCGAAGACGGGAGCAACAAGCCTGGCTGGTTAATAGCGGTAGAGCATTAGTGACGGGAAAGGGAAGAGAGAAGTATCGACTATCAATAATCATTGGGCTATTACAGCGACGTGCAGCTATATAGCATCGACCTTGCACACATGTGGTGACGGTTCCTACAACGTCCCAAACGGAAGTCCTTGCGAACATGATGTGTACAGTACACTCGTTCCAAGCCCGAGGCAGTGTTTCCCCCAATTTCCCCACGGGCGAAGATCCGGGAATTGAAAGATGGGATGGGCGACGCTTGGGTGCAGATCTCCAGAGATCTCGAGGTCAGGGCTGGCAGGGGGGTTATTGATGGTCAGGATGGTATTCTTGGGGATGGCCTGGAACTAAATGGACGTTTCCCGCCTGGCCCCGTTCTCCATGCTATCTGTCTACACTATCCCTGTAGCCAGCCCAGACATCATGCCCGCCCGCTACCCCTCTCTGTTCCTCAGTTGCCATGCCCCTGTCTCTGCTCTGTCAATTGTCCCTACCTAGGTACCTCTATCAGTACCGGACATGACGTTGATGTATTAGGTCCCATCTCCCTGCATGCAGAAAAAACACATCGTAGAATGGAAATGCGGGCGGCTCACCGCGGCCAAACATGGGTTGCGGATTCTTATCAAAACTCTGGAATCACTGAAATCTTAAAACAGTCGAGCTTCATAATCAGAAGATGAAGGGATGAAGGGTCTTATGGGGTACGTAAACGAGCGAGCTTTGCCAATTACCATCCAAGCCGCCCCCAAAGCTCCATTATTTCCAGCTTAACTCGCTGTCACAGCAGTGTTGCGAGACGCTAAAAAGGAAGCCGAGAAGCCCGATACAACCATTGCCGTCCCCTGTACTGGTCCGTTCCAGATTCAACTCATCTTAGGTTGTGAGTACCTAGCGGAGCTTCGGTCTCCGATTGCACCAGACAGACAGTTGAACGATAGGGCAACCTCGACCGTCTCTCTGCCATGTTGTGCAACACCACACACAACTCTTACCGTACTTGTTCATCCTCGGCATCTCTACATACTACGTTTCTTCTTTGATCGGAGCACCTTTTTCAGTTTACTTTGTCCTCCATCACGATATTGACTAAAGCTGTTTTACTTGTATATGGAGATTTAGACGCCAACATCTAACGGTCTATATACCTCAATGGACGCCACCAGGTAGCAGAGCAAACGACACTTACCTCGACCAACAACCGTTTCCTCCCAAAAGTCCGGTGAGCACGGCACGGCGCTTACTACACTACTCAGCGTCATCGAGTCAACCCGCCACAGGTTTACGGGAACCTAAAGTCCGAGTATTAGTATCAATCCCTACATCGATAATCAGATCAGGCAATCTCCATACCCATCCAGCGTCGACTTGTTCACCGATAAGACCTACCCACCTATCTACCTGTCGTGCGCCCAAGGACGCACAACCCAGTTCACAATGCCAGATCACAACAACAACAACAACAACAACAACAACAACAGCCACACAGCCCGCGACGCAGCCGCAGCCCTCTCCATGAACCTCTCCTCCTCAACCTCTACCACGCCCACCCACTCACCGACCTCCTCCCCCGGTCCCCAAGTTGGTGCCGACCCAGGAGGAGAAGACCTCCCGCAATGGGCCCGTCCCTCGGCCTCTAACATCCGCCGTCTGTCCTCCGGCCGTCCCTACTCCGTCCCCCGGCACGCTTCGCACCGCTCCTCCGCCGCCGCTGCCGGCGGCGGTCGGGTAGCTAAGCTCAAGGCTCTGGCCTTAAAAGCTATTGCAACTGGTCTCACCATCACCCAGCGCGCCATCACCATCTTCCTCGGCCTCTCGCTCCTGCAAAAGATTGCCATTCTTGTCGCCCTCACAATCTTCTTCTCGCTGAGCGTCGTCGCGCTGGTCTACTCCCACGCCATCTTCGCCTCCCTCGGTCCCTTGGCAGAAAAATGGCGAGCCCTACCGTTCGGCTGGCTGCTTTGTTTTGGCCTTGTCTTCATGACGGCTTTCCCCCCAATCATCGGTTACTCTACCGCCGTGACCGTTACCGGGTTTGTCTACGGGTTTCCGTGGGGATGGCCGATTGCTGCGGCGGCGACGGTGGCGGGATCAACGTGTTCGTTTTTGGCGTCGAGAGGCGTGTTGGCTGGGTACGTGAATGGGCTTGTGGGAAAGGATAAACGGTTTGTGGCGCTCAGCCAGGTTCTGAGGAGGGATGGACTGGGGGTGCTGGCAATGGTCAGGTTCAGTCCGTTGCCGTATAGTTTGAGTAACGGGTTTTTGGCGACGGTGCCGAGGTTGAGAGTAGGGGGGTTCGCGGTTGCAACTGGGTTGGCTACGTAAGTGCTTTCCTTTTAGTTCTCTCTTTTTTTTCTTTTCCTCTTTTTTTTTTTTGGCCCTTGTGCTAACAGTAGTCCCTTAAAACAGCCCCAAACTTTTCGTTCACATCTTCATCGGCTCCCGCCTTGCCCTCCTTGCCTCATCAGGCGACAAGATGACCACCCGCGACCGCGCAATCAACTACATCTCCATGCTTCTCTTCGGCGCTGTTGGCGCCGCCGTCGGCTATCTCATTTGGAAGCGGACCATGTCGCGGGCCGACGAGTTGGCGTACGAGGAAGGGCTGGACGGGGTCGACTCGCTCGCCGCCGCCGCGGGGACCACGGCCGCTGGGGAGGTGCATCGCACGGCGGATGGCACGCTTGAAATCGGAGATGATGACGAGGAGGATTATGCGGATCTCGAGGGCAACAGCGGCGGCCGACTGTTGGTTGGTGGTAATGCGGGTAGGCAAGGGGATCTAAGGAGGCAGAGCAGTGAGAGTGATATCTCGCTATGGGAGACGGATCGATATAGGGATAGCTGGGATGAGGAGGCCAATCTTGGAGGGCGGAAGTAGGGTTGACCATGTCCCGATGCTGATGCTTTGTTTCATCTGTTACTTTCTTTTGTGTCTTACTTTTTAGGTTGTGGCATGATTGCACAAAATGGAGCGAGTAAGCGGGCGGTGTCATCGCATATAGAAACTGGGGAAAGCAACCGGTGTTCAATGGCGTATTTGGAAACATTTTGATTTTCTGCTATCACCTTATAATTTCTTTTGATGGCGTCCTTGGCTAGTAGCTGATTTTCATGTCAAGAGATCATATCGATTGTTGAAGGAAATGGTGGGAGTGACACAGGTAGATAGACGGCACTAGAGAACATATAGATATTATAAACAGTATTCAAGTTCAGCTATCAATCTTCCGAGAAGCATGTCATTAAATTATGTGATAAATAATGCAATCCTTGAACTCCTCGCTATCCATCTGCAAACCGGGCAAGCCAAAACAGCCACCATTACCAGTTTCAAACCCAAGTCTTGACTGACACGCTCGCCTGTTGCTGAAATTATATGACAACGAACACACACAAGAGACTGATGCTCTCCCCGAACTGCCCTACTCACTTGCTACCCTGGAATTGTTGCATAAACTGAATGGCCTGTTCCATAGGATAACCGATGAAAACTGGCCCATTAAAGTTGAAAACCACGGGGCTCTGTTGCTGACCTGCTGTTTCAGCCTTCGGCATAGGCATATCTGCCAGATTGATAAACGTCGGCTGTGGTGCAGGTATAGGTGGTGGTATGTGATGCTCCTTTACTGGTGTGGACTGCTCAACCTTGTGATCCGTCTCCTTGGGCGCCGTCTCTCCCGGCACTATTTCCTGTTTGGACAGCTGCTCCACCTTTGTCCTAGATGAAGCGAATGCAGCCATCTTGGTATGATCAAAGGGACACTTCCCAGCCTGTGGACCTTTCTTGTGAGGAATCCCATCCTGAGCCGGCAATCTCGCAGGGACCGCAGGCCGAATCGGACTTGGACTCCGACTCCTCTGCCTCTGGGGTTGGTCGACCATGGCAGGTACGGGAATGCCCCATGGTCGACTGGGCGACTCTCCCAGGCGAACTTCTCTCAAAGGACGATCAAAGCGACCCTCACGTTCTTCCTCATCTTCTACGGGCTGGTGGTCGTCTTGGTATTCCGGTGCCGCTTGCGGGTCACTGGCGGAAACAGACTTGGCCCAGTTCGCTACTCGTGCATTGGAGGTTCTATCGACTTGCTCATGGTCTTGATATTGATCTCCCGTCGCTGGTGAAGGCAGCATAGGCTTGTGCAGATGGCTCAGGTCCTCGATCATGTTGACCAGATTCCCATACTTGGCATCGAGCTTCCTTACTTGCTCTTCATTCTTTTGATAGCGCCTGACGCAAACCTCATGACTGCGCGGAATCTCGTGCTTGTGCGTCTCCACGTAGCGAGCAATCTCTTCAGGGGAGTGCTTGTCAAGAAATCGAATCGGACACTTGGAGGCAGCAGTGTGGGCGGGCATCGACGTCGAGTCCCCGTACATGGCAGCGCAGATGGGGTCAGAGGATTTGTGCGGAGTGGGGTCCATGGCGGCGGTGCCGTTGTTCAAAGCAGCAGCATCTTGGTCTTGGGCTCCATCGCCAGTCACACTGCCAATACCAAGGTTGGGCGATGCTCGGTCTTGGACAGCGGGAGGCGTGACAGCAGCAGAAAAGGGACATGCAAGGAGGCCTTTCTTCTTCCCCTCAACAGTAAAGTCCTTTTCGAGCACGGTCGACATGGTAGTCATGGTGTCGGCGGCGGTAACAGGAGAGGTGGAAGCCTCCTTGCTAGAGTCACTGTGTTTGCTGGCCCTTCCCATGGCAGCGGCAATGAGCTGAGCAGCCTTTCTCCCCTCTCTGATTTGCAAGGCGATCTCGTGCTGGGAGTTTCCAGATTGGATGCGCCGAGGCAGAGGCACGACGGATGAGTTGGTCGCGACAGAATAATAGTGCAGGTCCGGTGGGAGCTGGAGCTTTGCGAGCGTTTCGGCTACCTCGGGAACTGCAGGCGCATACTTATCGGCTAGACACTGGTACTAAATTGCGGGCGTATGTGTTAGCCAGACATGATCGCCATCGTCAAGTAAGATGGGAAATGACAAGCACAATCCGGTGTAAATTGGATCAGACATTAGAAGTTGTCTCCACGTGCTGTTGATAGGCAGCTGGCAGATCTAGAGCTAAAGAATCATCACAAAAAGGGGGTTGAAATTGGGAAAAAAAGGAAATGGAGGGTGTTTTACCTTACCTGCTCGTGCGCAAAGCGAAGCTTGTGCTCAAGGATGGTCTTGCGGTCGATTAGTGATTGGACTTCATCTGCCAGGGCAATGAAGGACTCGGTTAGAGTCTTGGTTAGTTGTAGGTAATCCATCCCACAGCATTTGTTGCGACGAAGCGGGGAGGACCTTCGCGGTATAAGTAACAAGAAGAGGAGGCTGAATGGACCGCTTGCTTGTTGCGCCGCGTGACAAGCTCGTTAGGTCGTTCCGCCTTTTCCAGTCTTCCAATGAATGTGAAACGCGCGGGAATGGAAAAGAGAAGAAAGGCTTTTCCGCAGCTGTTTCCGGCCGCGGTTTTAGTCATCCCATAGGGTCCACTTTTTGGAGCACTGCACCCACCCGGGCCACCGCCGAAAAGCAGAGCCCGCCACGTTTGCCCGACGCCGGTGTACATACACCACCTAAGCGAAACCCCACCCAGAACTCTCATGCGGGGCATTTGGGGCTGGCACTTGGCACGAACACCCGGACCGACACAGCGGGACGCCAGGGGCAACAGGGGGGGACCGAACACTAACATCACAACATACATATGTACATAGATCCCTTGTGAGGTCATCATGAGGTTGGGGGAGAAGGGTAAACATGTACACTACGGCGGCATGATGAACGAGCGGCTTGCTACTTGGCGAATGTCAAGCCAGTTTGAAATCCTGCTGGCCTATTTCGTATCTCATTGCACTTCGAGGGAATGATCCAAGGCTTCAGAAAAGAGATGCTAGAATTTGATAACATGGGCTTGTGTTAGGACATACATCAAACATCACTCATCAAGCCCGCCAGAAAGGTAGGATATAGATAATCACTTCTTCAGATATACAGTTGGAACTAGAGCCCCTTCGGTTGGTAGCGTCTTCTTCACTGGTCTCGTATTGCTTCCAACAACTGTACCCGTCAGCTTACCTCTTAACAAGGCATATAACACCCCGCGATGACGCCCCTCTGCTATAAGCGTGGTGGCTTCATGGTGTTGTTTTGACATCCTCTTCATTATTTCAGCTCTCACCTCTATCAACCTATGTATCTGCTAGGACTAGCCATTACCAAGGCTTTTTTTCAGTACTGATCAACATGATGGCTGCTCAAGTCATCCGTCCAGCTCGTTTGTTGAGCCGCACAGCACACATTGTCCCTGGTGAGGCAACCCGACATGATCATCTCATGGCATTGGCAATCTTTGACACAAATCAACAGGCCAGCTACGCGTCACAGAGCTCACCTTTGAGGTGCCCCTCAACCATTCCAATCTCTCCGCCGGAAACCTCAAGATCTTCGGTCGCCAAGTCACCAAACATGACACCCCCATTGTGCCCCGCGCCGACAGCGACCTGGAGGAATACCACAGGAGGCCCTACCTCGTCTACCTCGAAGGCGGTCCCGGCTTCGGCAACAGAGAACCCCAAGACCACCAACTGACCAAAACAGCCCTGGACAGAGGTTACACCCTCCTCCTGCTCGACTATCGCGGCACCGGCCTAAGCACGCCCATCAACCAGCCCCATCTAGCCACATTGGGTGGCCCCCAGCAGCAGGCCGACTACCTCAAGCGCTTCCGCGCCGACAGCATCGTCCGAGATGCCGAGGCCGTGCGTCTTTGTCTGACTGCCGATTATCCCGAGACTCATAAGAAGTGGTCCATTTTCGGCCAGTCCTACGGCGGCTTTGTCGCGCTGACGTACCTCTCCCAGTTCCCGCAAGGGTTGCGCGAGGTGTTTCTGACGGGCGGTCTCGCGCCCGTCAAGCGCACGGCCCAAGAAGTCTACACGGCGCTGTACAAGAAGGTCATCCAGCGCAACGAGGCTTACTACCGCAAGTTCCCCGAAGACGTGGAGCGCGTCCGCAAGGTAGCGCAGTATCTGGACGAAAAATCCCCCCTGCTACCAGGCGGCGGCGAATTCACCGTCGAACGGTTGCTCGGCATCGGTCTGTGTCTGGGCATGAATGGCGGCTTGGACCTGATCCACAGCACCATTCTTAAGCTGGCCATGGACATTGAGCAGTTCGGCTTCATCACCCGCGCCGCAGGCGCCGCTTTCGAGGGGCTGATTCCGTTCGATACCAACCCCATCTATGCCGTCCTCCACGAGTCCATCTATACCAACGGACCCGGGCTGGCGTCCGACTGGGCCGCCCACCGGGTCGGCAAGACGCTTGCCGAGTCCGAGCCGGGACTCAGCTGGCTGTCTTCGGTGCCCCAAGCCCTCGACTGCTCCTCCTCCTCCACAAACCAGCAGCCCCTGTACTTCTCTGGCGAAATGGTCTACCCTGCCCACTTCGATTGCTACCCCGAGCTAAAGGACATGAAGGAGACGGCCGAGCTTCTGGCCAAGTACGACGACTGGCCGCGGCTCTACGACCTGGATCAGCTTGCGCGGAACGAAGTCCCTGTCTACGCGGCCAGTTATGTTGAGGACATGTATGTCGACGCAGACTTTGCAAGGGAGACAGCCAAGGCGGTCAGAGGGACCAAGGTGTTTGAGACGAACGTGATGTATCACGGAGCGTTGAGGGCCAAGACCGACGAGGTTCTGGGGCAGTTGTTCAAGTTGAGGGATGATACCCTCGATTAAGCGTGAGTGGCTGTCGGGGATTTCAGCTCGTTGCCAGTTTGGCGTGGATGTTGAGATTCTTGATGGTCAAAAAGACAAATTCCGTATCGTGCTGAATTTTGTGAGATATTGGCGAGGATGTGTGCTTCTGGTAATGGTATAACGCGATCGGGGAGATGAGGTTAATATTTACTTGAGTCTTCACGACCAACGAGAGGTGCCCTAACTGGCCCCCAGGAGGCTGATGTTTGGTTTGGAAAATTGACGTGTTGCTCCGGTCTCAGATGCTCAAAATCATATCCGATTTGCCTTGAATGGCGAATTTACAGGCACGCGGTCTTAAAGACTGTGAGTACACTGGATGGGTACGCTAGGAGCTCGTCGGCAGCCTATATCTAATGGTCACGACATAACAACATGCAGTTCGCAAATGAAACGAAATATGGCTTTCAGATATCCTCATGATCATTTCGCTAACAATCCCAGAAAAAAAAAAAAAAAAAAAAAAAAAAATCCAGTTCCCATTCCCCCCTTCTTCCTGGATCCAGGTGAGCAGCAATCATGTGGTACGCGTAGCATGAGCACGTACTGAGTGGTCCCTCCCTGTTCCTTTCTCATGCTACATGACCTTCCTGTGTCCTTCATATGAAGCAAATAGCCGGGATAAGACGGTAATGACATATTCATGCCCTTCATCCTTCTTTTCTATCAGTCCAATATCCTCTCTAGAACGCCTGCCAACAAGACCGGGTGTTGATATATTTTGACATCGATAGTAGTAAAAGTCCACCATGTCATTAAACGCAGGTGAAATAGGGGGAACATCAAACAACGAGATTGAACCCTCTTCTTCCACCGAAATAGTGATAATCCGGGTGCTGTGTTGATAAGTGTGATCGTATCCCTTCCACCCGTGCCGATTTGATCACACTTCAGGTATTACCGGTTTTCACCTTGCATCATATCCCCTTTTTGTTCCTTTCTCCAACTCTTCCTTTTGTCGGCCCCTCGAATATCGTGCCTCGTCAAATGTGCAATACTCGATAATGGGTCGAGTAATCGGGTATATTTGCTTCGTTAAGGATGATCATGGGAACAGGAGACATGAAATGATTAAGAATCGTTGCAAATCATTCAGCCTCCATAGCAAGTCTCAAACAATGTCGTGCATGGCACGTTTTGTTGGACCGTCGCTTGTGCCGCAATTTATCGTCGAATAATGGATAAGGTTGGTACTGCTTCCCCGCCCATTTAACTCGCTTACTGCGAGGCGCACTGTACGCGTTCGGCCTGAGGCTCGTCATCCTCCTCCATAGGGCTGTTGGAGAAGCCACGGCCGGCTCCGTTGCCCTCGACATCCTCCAATTCTGCTGGCTCGGTCATAGCATCCTGAGGGGGTACGTTGACAACAGCGGGGGCCGGGAGGTACTTGCGAAGAGCCTCGAAGGCAGCGGGATCCTGAGTCCAGTTCTTCTCGGGGAACCTGACGGAAAACTGGATATACATGTTGCCGTAATCGTGGTGGCGGTAGGAGGGCATACCCTGGCCACGAATCATCTTGACGGAGTCTATCTTACTGTTAGCGCTTGCTGATGCAAAATGTAGCGGGACAGAAAAACACTTACTGGGCGCAATAGCCTCGCCGGGCTGGATGTCAACGCTCAACCAGCGCTCATCAAGATGCTCGATGTAAATGGTTCCACCGGCAAGGGCGGTCACGAGATCGATCTCGCACTTGTAAAGAAGATCATCATCCTGACGGGTGAAGCGGGGATGGGGCTTCTGCTCGATGACGAAGACAACGTCACCGGGGAGAATGCCAGGTGCTTGGTCACCCTCACCACGGAACTCGACCTTGGTGCCGCTCTTAACACCACGGTCAACGTGAACGTGGAGGACCTTGCGATCGACAACGGTCTTCTTGCCATTGCACTGCTTGCAACGATCCTTCTCCTTGATTACCTCGCCTTCGCCATTGCAGTCAGGGCAGACGGTCTGGAAGCGCTGAATCATGGGGCCCATCTGCCTCATCATGATCTTGGTACCTTGACCGTCGCAGCCAGCACACCGCTTGACGGCACCTTCCTTACCGCCGCGACCCTCGCACTTGGGGCAGAGGATTGACCGCTGAAGGGCCAGCTTGGAGATCTTGCCGCGGTAGATATCCTCAAGCGAGACGTGGTGGGTGTGATGAATAGTCTTAGCCTTCGCGGGGGCACGCTGCTGGTTCATACCGCCGAACATACCACCGAGACCGCCGCCGAAGCCACCGCCGCCGAAGAACTGAGCGAACAGGTCCTCGGCAGCCATGCCGCCACCGGCACCGGCGCCACCCTCAAGACCAGCCTCGCCATACTGATCGTAGATGGCGCGTTTTTGGGAATCGGAAAGAATTTCGTATGCGTGAGAAATCTCCTTGAACTTCTGCTCGGCAGCCGGGTTGTTGGCGTTTTTGTCTGTAGTGTTTTGCTGTCAGTAAGCCATTTGGCTGCGCGTATTGCAAGGAAGGCGGGACATACCTGGGTGGTACTTAAGGGCACCGGTCTTGTATGCCTTCTTCAATTGCGCCTCAGTGGCATCTGGGCTGACCTAATTCTGGGCGTTAGACCCTCCTCTGTCAGGCTAGGGGTATCGATGACCAGCGGAACTTACTCCAAGAGTCTCGTAGAGCTTTGTTTCCTTGACCATCTTGACTGTCTGGTCTAGTTATGTGGATATGTGTGGAAAAAATGTTCTGGGAATTCGGAAAGCTCTGGACAATCAGTTCCGATGACAATGACGGATATGGGGATGCGTCAGGGTCGTTGAGAAATCGTGGTCTGATGGAAAGACAGATAAGGTCAGCGGCTGCGAGGTCGCGTCGGGAATAATGGAAATGGAGTCGAGAGAAGACAATGAATGGCTGGTGCAAATGGAGAGCGGTGGTGGACAATGGTGGAAGGGAAAGATCTTTTTGCGCAAAGGGTTGGGAAAGGCCGACGGGGTCCCGAGTCGGAGTTGGTTTGGCAGAAGTTGGGGACTTCCAGGCCTCGCTTGTCTTTGGGGGGGTGGTCCAGGGCACCGAGAAAGAAGCGCAGAACAGGAACAGACAGAAACAGGGATGGACCTACCAGAACAGCTTGAGCTACAACAGCAGCAGGAAGCGTCCAAGATGGAAATAGTTGATAAGGTACGGGATTTGAGTCGCCGAAGGATAGTTGGGAGTGACAGGAGGCTTGATGAGGTGTAGTTGTAGTAGCAACACGGAAGACGGAAGATGGGGTATAACGGAATGACTGATCAACTTTCTCGAGAAAACTGTCCAAGTACCGGCAGCAGGGTTCAAATATTAACCAAGGCAGGGCAACAGAACCGGAATCTTCACTGCAATTCTGGAATAGGCGCAGAGTGAGGGATGCGACGGGCGCCTTGTTCGTTGGGGGCGCCCGGAACGGCAAAGGAGGCTGAAGTGGGTGACTGGCCCAGGGAGTTCTTCTTCAGCCCCTCTCATGGAAATCAATCGAAAGCTCTAGAGTGTGGCTGACAGATATGGGGGCCAATAATGAGCTACTTTGTCCCGCTTCCACAGGGTTGCAAAGAGGGCGTGCGAGGGGAGAGGTGACCAGGTTCCCCACACTCATTCAAAAGTACCTCTTTATCACTCATTGAGAGGATCTAGCCTCAGGAGATGCAGATGGAAATTCGGTTGACCTTGGAGGACCCTGTCGATCGTGGCTGGTGCGTTCCAATGTGACAGTGACCTATGCCCAACTTTCAACTTTTATTTTAACCGCACGCAATCATGCAAAACATGGTGCATATGTACACTTTATAAAACTGTAAAAACGCATACCATCTTTACACTAGGCATTTCACCTTCTTTTTACAAGGCAGCATGCATGTCCTCTGATTGGGTTGTTGGTGATGTTGTCTCGTCTGGATCCGAGTTGGCGTCCGCTCGAAACCCTGCAGGCGTTCCGCTTCCCAACAACCCCACCAACATCTTGAGGTCGCCTTTTGCCCCTCGGTTTTTCAACCCCCTTCAACCACTCATCGCGGGGCACCTTCTCGTAAGGGTTTGCCTTTCATCTGGAGAATTCCAGGTGAAGCAAGCGAGAATTACGTGCGCTGCTGCTTTGCTTATCGATCACCAAAAAGACTTGGGGCGTCTATCTGTGGTTCAAGAGGAGATACTTGGGATCAAATCATTAAGATCCATGAATTATATAGCCTCAGCATCTGTGCCTTACTGAGGTGTCCCAGCTCAGAAGCTTTTTTTTTTTTTTTTTTTTTTTTTTTTTTTTTTTTTTTTTTGGGATGCCTACAGTACACCGGTTCAATGGCAGTTTGGATATGAAACTGAATGGTTACCCTCGCAAACAGCACCTTATCGCACTGAGTGACATCTCGGAAGTGGGGGATCTGCTATAAAGGCTCGATAGGTATACACCAATACCACGGAGATATCAGGGAGATAAGGTGTCTTGGGGTCACATATTCAATCAGCCTGATGCTCATCAAACGTGGAAAACGGGAACTCAGCGAGTTGAAGTCGAGTGACAACATCACGGTGCTGCTTCTGGAAAGTTATCTCCTCCAGACCATAGCTACCTTCTGCACTTTCAAAGTTCTCTCAGTCTCTTAGCATACCTCTTATTTGGCCTACCTAAATTCCTCCATCATGGACGATGCTGCCGGTCTAGCCATTGCCTTCGAGGAGGCTAAGAAATCGTATGAACAAGGAGGAATTCCTGTATGTCTTCTTGATATTCTCTTCAACCACCTACCAATCTCCCTCAGAATAGTATATATAAATCACAGAAAGAGATTCGTACCTGAAGCAAGCCACTGCACGAAGAAACTCCACGATCAAGCCTAACCTTACCTTGACGCATGGACTTACATTACCTAACCTTGCTAATGAGCTAATGATCCCAAACCAAACCATACCCCAAACAGATCGGAGCAGCACTCATCTCCAGCACCGGCATCGTTCTCGGCCGCGGTCATAACCAGCGCGTCCAGCTTGATTCACCTATTCATCATGTACGTACGTCCTGGCGTCATCTCATACTTGTTCATCCCCTCCCCCGTGAACCATATACAAATCCAGCCCCAACCAACCACCTAAACACAGGGCGAAACAGCAACCCTTTTGAACGCTGGCCGCCTCCCCGCTTCCACCTACGCAAACTCAACAATGTACACCACCCTTTCCCCCTGCGACATGTGTACAGGGGCGATTCTGCTTTACAAGATCCCGAGGGTAGTGATAGGAGAGAATAGCACGTTTAAGGCAGCAGGGGAAGACTATCTACGCCAGAGAGGGGTCGAGGTGGTGGTTATGGATGATCAAGAGTGTAGGACATTGATGGAACGGTTCGTGAGGGAGAGGCCGGGGGTTTGGTGGGAGGATATTGGTGTTGTGGGGGAGAAGAAGAGGGAGCAGGGAGATGACCATGTTTTGTGAATGATTCTGGTGCTGTAAGAGAAAGAAGGGGAGGGGCTCTGTTACGGAGCGTCTCAGCAGATAGAAGGGGTGCTGGAATATGACTGAGAAGGCTGATCAACTGCAATGCATCTGTTCCTTCTAATTCTACTGTAGCTGCTTAATTAAATCTCCTCAGCTCATGCCACACACCAAAGTGAAGTAAAAATGTCACTAAAGTCAGCAATAACAGAAGCTAAGTAATCATCCTCTCATCTCCTATCCGACCATGCTATGTAAACAAAGTGCAAGCAAAGGAAAAGCAGTCCAGTCCAGTCCAGTCCCAGTTCCTTCCACCCCCTACGTCCCTCCCTGCACTTCAGAAAAACTCAAATCAAATTTATGCAAATAACACATTTACAGGTACGTAATGGATGGCTTTCCCGAAACTCCGCAGCAAATACAAATCGGTATCTTTGACGCCATTTCTAAACCCTTATAGCAAAGCCTTTTTCCTTTTTTGTCTTCCTTTCTCCTTTCCTTTTTAGTCTCCTGTTGCGACTTGAAGAGAGGTTCGATTGATGTCTTGCAAACAATCGAGATGGCTTATGGCCGCCGATCTACTTTTCTTATTTGAACGATTAAGAACCCCTTCCTTTCTCTCTGCCAATTCGTATAAAGTCGTTTGTCACCTTCTTCCCTGGTCTTCATCGTATACGATGACACGTCACGGAGAATTTCACACCCAACTCCAAGAACGTCCTAGTGGAGTAGGTTACGAAGTGACGGACTAGAGCTCGCGCCAGTCTTCATGTCTTTTGGCTTGTTATCCCTCGGTGGCGGTGGCAGACCTGATACCTGCTGGTAAGAAGAGGTATGATGCAGAGGAGGCGGCTGGTTTTGCTGCGCTGTATGGTTGTTCCAATGCCTTAGAAAGGATAAGGGATGGTGTTGCTCTGCGGCAGCAGGCTGAGGTGGAGGCCCAGTAACGTGGTGTGGAGGCAACGCGTGGTTCAACATGTTATGGGGTCGTAATTCTGTTCGTAAATCCGTAGGCGGTCGCAGATCGGGTGGTCCTCCGTGGCTATGGAGAGAGCCTCCTGATAGATAGGAGCCGCCGCTCGGAGTGGTGGGCTGGCCGCTCACCCGGCGAGGCGAAAGTGGCAAACCATCCATTCTTGCATAGGGAGATGGATGTGCTATATGCCCGTTATGCCCGTTTTGGGGAGGAGGAGGCGGGGGTTGAGCGTGTGTTAGGTTCGCAATCGAGAGCGAGGGTGATGGCCGTAGATGGTTGGGCGGTGCCAATGAAGGCATGCTGTTCAACGGCGGTGGTGAAGGACCAGTGCCGTTCAACTGCCGTCCTGGATGCAACGGTGGTGGATGACCTGATGGCTGACGGTGCCAGTCGTCGTAGGGTCTCGGGGGTGCCGGTCCAAACAGGGACTGTGGCATAGATGGGCCCCGAGGCGCGAGGCTCGGGGGAAGTGTCGGCGGGGGAGCAGCCTGCGGGGCGACAGGGCCTGATACAGGAACAGGAGGGTGCGAGACCGGGGGACGAATAGGCGCCGGGTGAGCTAAAGGAGGCGGGATGGGGGCTGCCTGGACACCGGGTGACCAGTAAGGACTTGGACCAGGTTGTCTACCTGGAATATCCATCACAGCTGTTGGAACCGTTGTAACTGGCGCTGGTGGTGGTGCCACCGGCGGCGCCTGAGATACCTGTACTGGGTGGACGACTGGCTCAACGGCAGGAACCAAGAGTGGCGCGGGAGGAGGAGGGGGTGTTGGCTCCCTCTTAGGATGCACATGTGGTTGACGCCCCTCCTTCTTGCACTTGTGGCATTGAACGCTCCTCTGCTCAATGAACTTTTGTGCTTCTGATCCCAGATTACCGCAATACCCATTTACGAGCCCACGCTCCTGGGCTTCATCAATGGGGTACCACTTGGGACTCACATCAGTCCCACAAGTCAAGCATATCTTGCTGCCTGGTTGTCGGCAGCCCGCGGCTGATTCTCCATGATCCCCGTTGAGCAGGTGAATCGTCGAGATTCGTCTCGTCTGGTGACTTGTTGATGTCGCAGAAGATGAAGTAGGCCGAGTGGTTGGAGTGATTTGGATGGCCTTCCTGGCGCAACCCGTAAGAGTCAGGTCTGCTTGCTTGTAGTTTTGAACATAGAGCTGTAGTGCGGTCATGCCACTTTCGTCCACCTTTTCGTGCATTGGGTGAAATGCGCCCTTCTGAGGCGCATGTTCCTTGCACCAGATCGTGGCCGACATTGTACCACTTTCACTCCCAAGAGTAACGATGTTATGCTGATCACGGCGAGAACCCTTTACCGGTGTGATGTCAAAACCGAGGACATAACCGGCCTTGTGGG